GGCGCGTGTGTGGTGCATGAAGCCACAATGGGTAGTAATGGGATGTTTCTGAAATCCAGATGTTGAAGGAATAATGTGGAAGAGGGGAACCTCAAATATACTAAGTCCTTTGCCCTTCATCTCATTCTCATTGACTTCAGAAGAACCATAGAGTTTGCTTTTGGACCCTCTGGCTTACAATTGCTTGATTCTGACCTGAACCTGGCCTCCTGTGTGAACTCTCCTTGGCCTTCCTTCTCCGGTCTGTGGAGGCTGCCTGCTGCAGGCAGGCTTTAAGCCCATTGACCCTGATGTCAACAGAAAGAAGTGAGCATCCCATCCCCTTCCTTTTTCCCCACCCAAAAGTCACTTCCTCTTAGTTCATTACCTGGGATTTTGATGCTTGTGTTCCCTCAGCATTATTGATACACATGGGAAAAAAAAAAAAAAAAAAAAAAAAAAAAAAAAAAAAAAGGAACTTGTTGAAATTCCCCCAGAAGGTTTTGAGAGTTGTTTTCAGTGTTGCAACTTGAACAAGTCAGTTTCTAGTTTAAGTTTCCATCAGAAAGCTTGGTAGGAGTAGGGTATATAAGCCCCAGTAGTAACAACAGCAGCAACAACAGCAGCAGCAGCAGCAGAAGAAGAAGAGACTAGTTTCAGACCCAGAAAACTCTGCAGCCTGCCCAGAAGCAAGGTAAGCACTTCCTTGGCCCCTTCTAGCTTTCCACAGGCCCGCAGGCTGTCCGGGGTAGCACCATTTGAGTGGTACCCCTACCCCTGGCAAGCTACCAGGAGTGTGTGGATTTCTGGAGGCATTCCTGGTGACTTACCTGCCGGGACACTAGTGAAAAGTCAGTATTTTGGGGACTGATGTATCAGGTCTTAATTTTAAAAGTCAACTAATAATAATTGTACACGAGAGTCTACAAATGAATGCACATTTGATAGAAGGGCTTGTTTTGTCTTGTCTGAGAGTAGTGTGTACATAAAAGAGTGTTCCTCAATTTTAATGCCCACCAGTTAAATTGTATCAAGTGAGTGGTGCCTCTGTTAGGACTGTAAACTTTTTTAAAGCTGTTCGTTCATTAAGCCATAATGAATTCAATAAACAATTGAATTCATACTTACACCTCATAATTGAAAGTTGCAGAGCAAACTTTGTGTTGGGCTTAATAGATAGTTGGAACAGTCAAGCAGACTGGAGTCCGGGTTATCCAGATTTTTTTGGATTAACTTCAAAGCTACTTTAAAAATGAAAAGCAGCCGCATTGTTTAAAAGTATTTGCCAAAGGGTTTTAAAATCTGTGAGGAGGAAAACAAAAGATTATACTCTATTAGTGTCTTATGGTTGCCCAGGTAAATCGTGTGCAACAGTTTTTCAGGTTAAAAAAAATAACGATCAGGTTAAAATATCATTTTAACCAAGAGATTACCAAACCCCCGCTGATGGCCCACTTCCATCAGATAAGGAACTTCAAGATATTGGAAAGAATTTGGACAACCTCTTGGGGTTCCTTTTACTGGGATCTGAAAACTGATGATTTCTGTACATTTATTCATTTTCCTCTAGCAATTCATAAGATCCCTCGAGGCCAGAGTGTTTATGCTAGACTCTGGAGGTATAGTGTGGAGTCAGAAAGACATGATCCCTGCCCTCAGAGAGCTCAGTGTGGCAGAGAAGACAAACATCGACAACTGTATTACCGCAATCACAGGAAAAAGTGCTATGAGTGGGATTCAGGGAGAGCAAACAGCCAGGAGTCCTGACTTCCTTGGGGCACCCTGCTGGATACCTTCATGAATTATTTCATTAACTCCTTACCACAATAGGATGTCCATTTTACAGGTTGAATGTGAGACTTAAATAAGTCAAATGACTTTCCTAGAGTCACACAGCTAATAAGTGGCAGGGCTGGGATGCCAATGCAGGTCTGCCTGTCTCTAGAATTGGGGGTGCTACCCATGCTTTGTGTGATTTTGCCTTTTTATTTTTAAATAATAATTCTTTTTATTTTTTATTTTTTTTAATGTTTCTTTTTGAGAGAGAGAGAGAGCATGACAGAACGCTAGCAGCAGAGGGGCAGAGAGAGACACACACAGAGTCCCAAGCAGGCTCCAGGTTCTGAGCTGTCAGCACAGAGCCTGACGTGGGCTCGAACTCACAAACCGTGAGATCATGACCTAAGCCAAAGTCAGACGCTTAACCGACTGAGCCACCCAGGCACCCAATAATAATTCTTTCTAAATTAAAAAGTAACAAAATAAAGCTTGCAAACGAGATGCCCACCCAAGTGTCCTGGGCATGCCCATGTTGGCACCAGCTTTAGGGAGCATAACCATACCACAGGACCTGGGGTCCCTGTGTTCCTTATACAAAGATTTCAAGAATTTAGAAAACCTACAAAATTACATGGAAAAAAATGTTTAATCCTCAAGACTCTCAAATGTAACATGCCAAGGAAATGTGGGCTGTGGAATATAGCTCTCTGATATCAGCTGATCTGGAGAACAACAGGGCAAATACATGCTGCCCCCTTTTTGGATTTCCCTGGGTTGGATTAAGAGAGTGACCCACCACCACTTCCCCCCCCCCCCACCCCATCCAGCCAGTGTTCCATGGTTTAAAATGTAGGTGATACTAAAATGCAAGTTGTTTCTTAGAATCATCACCAAGGCTCCCTTGATCGTGAAGTGCAGTTCACCTGAAATTCTCAAACACATCTAAGGCCCCAAGAGGAAGTGCCAGGCATATAGCCAAAGGGAAAATCCCAGCATTAAGAGAGTGCAAAAGAATCACCAGGAGATGCCAGGAATCTCTGTTATTTCCCTGCCCAGAGTGCCGGCATCTGGGCTTTACAGGCGTATGTAATTACAATACCTCTAGGGCATTTCCCTACAACCAGCAGGAAGGTTTTGTCCGCTGGTGTATACAAAACAGACATATCGCATTTTTCCTTTATCTCTTCACCTAAGTACAAGCTAACATGTTATTGGCTGCCTTCTATAATATGATATGTCATCTCATTGCATTCTGTCAACAACCCTCTGAAATGGGTATAATGTCCATTTTATAGACGAGGAGACTGAGGCTCAGAGATAATTTGGGCAACATCACACAACTATAAGTGGAGGAAGCAGAATTCAAGCCCATCTGCTGGACTCCAAGCCTGTGAATGTACTAACTGATACCCTGTGGCAACTAGTACATTGTTACAGTCATAACTTGGACATGATTAATGGGCATGTCTGTGAAAGCTCCATGCTGCAGTGACAAAGTGCTGACAGTACAGGAAGGCCTGACTTCTAGTCCCATATCTGCCACTCTCAACCTTTGTAATCTGATTGAATAAAGCACATGGCAAGGTTCTCCTAGGATTAGCAGCAATTCTAACAAAGCCGTGATTTGTCAATATTCAGTCACCCCAGCCAAAAGATGTTCATTTTTAAGGTATCTGGCTGAAAATTTTTTAATGTTTTATTTATTTTTGAGAGAGAGAGAGAGAGCACAAGCAGGGGAAGGGCAGAGAGAGGGAGACACAGAATCTGAAGCAGGCTCCAGGCTCTGAGCTGTCAGCACAGAGCCTGATAAAAGGCTGGAACCCATGAACCATGAGATCATGACCTGAGTCGAAGTCGGACGCTTAACCGACTGAGCCACCCAGGTGCCCCCTGACCAAAAATTTTGGGTCTTATTATTTGTATGATTTATTCAGTGGTTTCTGAAAACATGTTCCTGCAGAACATTGGTGCTCTCTGAGATGGATGGAGGTGTTTCAGAATGAAATTCAATAATCACCATCTCTACCTAATTCAGAAGTAGGGTACAATCTTCACGTCCTGAAGATTTGCATAAACCCTGGATCCCAATCTAGATTGAGTTTTACTCTAAGATGGTAGCTGATATTTAGCACAAAATTATACATTTCACTTTTCAGAGTGGATATATCAATATTTCATGGCCTTCTTCCAAAGAACATCTTGGTTTTCAGAGCTGTGGACGCTAAACATGGGTTAACCCAGTAGTTCTCAAAGTGTGATCCCTGGACCAGCAACATCAGCTTCACCAGGAAACTTTTAAGAAATGCAGATTCTGAGGTCCCTCTCCTCCTTCCATCCCCCTTCACCCCTACCTGCTGAATCAGACACTCTGTAGGTGGAACTCAGCCATCTGTGTTTTAGCAAGGCTTCCAGGTTACTCTGATGTGTGCTCAAGTTTGAGAATCACTTGTTTCATTATGTGAGAGGAAGTAACCTTTGAGTTTGGAGCAGTTACAATCTAAACGAGGAGAGAAACTAAACCTGGCTGCCAGGTGGCTGCCATAACTTGGATCATAAATATTTGTTGAATGAAAGTATTTGCTCCTAGAAGACAGGACCCAGGCCCAAAATCCTTTTTTTTTTTTCTCTCCTAACCACTCTATCTCTATGCCCTTTACATAGTAGGTACATAGTAAGTAAATAACGGTTGAATGTTGATCCAGACAAGTCATTTTCCTTCTCTGCACCTTAGGTTTCTCAGCTTAAAAATGAGAAGATTCTGGGACGCCTGGGTGGCTCAGTTGGTTGGGCGGCCAACTTCAGCTCAGGTCACGATCTCGTGGTCTGTGGGTTCGAGCCCCACATTGGGCTCTGTGCTGGCAGCTCAGAGCCTCCAATTCTGTGTCTCCCCCTCTCTCTGCCCCTCCGCTGCTTCCTCTCTGTTTCTGTCTCTCTCTCTCTCAAATAATAAATATTTAAAAAAAAAAAAAAGAGTATTCTATCAGATGGCTGGCCTCAGTTCTCCTTCAGCTCCAGATAGTCTGTGGTTCTCTCTTTGGAGATGTTCTTACTCAGAGACTGGCACGGGGTTCCTGCAATTCGCGTGGTATGAATCTGACGAGACAAATCAAGATTAAAACCAAGGTACATTGAATGAATATGGTTTCCAAAATGACTGAGTAACTGCTGACATTGTCTCTTCTCTTTTCCCTCCTCTTCTCTCTCTTTCTCCTTCTTCTCCTCTGTTTCTCCGCCTCCTGCAGATGCATCCTCAGCAGCTGGTCATCGCCTGGTTTTCCCTGGTTTTGCTGGCACCTCCCCTCATGGCCATATGGGAACTGGAGAAAAACGGTAACCAGCCTCTCCTTCTCTGGGGAGGCCCTGAATTCCAAGCCAGGACTGTCAGGCAGGCGGTGTGGGGACCTCAGACTAGAAGGGGAAACCAAGCCTTGGGGCCTCCTAGTGAGTGCCATCCCTGGGAATGTGTGGGGCCGTCTGTCCTTCCTTCACCTTTGAGGGTGTCTGTGTTGTTTGGCCTTCACATTAAATGCCACAGTAGGAGCTTTGTGTGGACTCTGATGGGAAAAGATATATGGATTTTGCCATTATTACTAAAAACTGGCTGTATCGTTCAATTAAAATTCCAAAGCGAAGGATTTGAAAAGTATAAGAACTCTGTTCTCTCATCCCCGCTCCATCACACAATATCACCCCCTCTGCTGGCACCAAGAGTACTAACCTCTGACTGTGCACTTGACTAGACTCACATTGACTTGGGCTCAAAGGCTGATTCTGCCACTTATCAGGTAGGTGACCTTGAGCTGGGTCACCTCCAAGCCTGAGTTTCCTCGACTGTGACCTGGGGATGACAAAGAGTTGTCTACTATGCAGATGATTAAATGTGTCAGTGAATTCAGGGAACAGCACAACAGATGTCCAGTGACAGTCAATGTTAGCTGCTATTGTTTTGGTTGTTTAAAGTGATGGCAATGATGATTCAAAAGAACCTGTGTATAATCCCAATGACCAATAAAAATTACTAGAATAATAGAATAGGTGTTAGTGAAATTCACTATATCCTTTTATTATCTCACACAAAGTAATGTATTAACTGATTGTTAGTTGTTCCTGAAAGACCTCAAATGTTTCTCGTTTAATTCTCACAACATCCATATAAAATAGGGACTGTCTGTACCCCATTTTAGAGATGTTGAAAATAGAGGCTACAGAGATTAAGCAACTTCCCCAATTTCACATACTTGGTAAGGATAGTACAGGGACTTGATTCCAATTCTGACTCACTTCAAAGCCTGTGCATTTAAGTATTTGAAGAAGGTCTTACAAGAAGGACATAGAGCAATGGTTTCCTATGTGCTTGGAGAACAGGAGGAAATAGGCGTAAGTTACAAGTGAAGACATTTCCGCTGATGACCAGAAATAATCTTTCGATAGTCAGGAAAGTACCACACTGGAAAATGGGTACCCGAAAGGAATGTGGGACTATTCTTCTATTCTTAACCTTTTCGGGAAGACAAGAATTCAGTCATCTCCTCTCCGCCTGAGGAGGGTTTGAGTTTTAGACCCTGCCTTGAGGAAAGGCAAAAGCCTGAGCTAGATGATTATGTCAGATTCCTATCAATCCTCGTATAGTTAGTGAGCTCAGGAAACTTGGCCCTCGCGTAGTAAACCCTTAAGTTACTTCTAATTTGGTAAACCACAGAAATTCCAGGAAGTCCATGTGAGAAACAGAGGGCATAGGACTTTGGAGACCAGATGAGATGATAAAGCCAGGCACAAGGTTCCAGATACTCTTCATCAGGCTCCCCTTTGTGGTTGTTTTCCCCTGTTCTTGGGTAAGGGTCTTCTAGGCCTTCTGAGTTTTAGCTGTGACAGAAAAATAGCCTCGCTGTGGTTCAATTTCCAGCAGAACAAAGAAAAACTAGAGAAAGCCGAAGGTGAGACACGGTTTTATTTCAGCGTAGGTAATCATTTCCAAAGAGTTGGGTCCCAAATACTGTTTACCTCTTGTTTTGTTACCGATTCAGTAGTTAAAAATCCCTCGGATCTGAAGTGAGAACTTTATATCCCACAATGCTTTACATTTGGACGCCAACCATAAAAGTCACCATTTATAGAGCATTTAAGGGCACTACGTTAAGCTGTTGTATGAATTGGCTTATATAATCCATGTCTCAACCTGCTGAAGCAAGCACTAATATTTTGCTCATTTTAAAAACAATGACACCCAAGCTTAGAGTAATTGAATGTCTCGCCTGAGGCCACAGGCAAGTATAAGATACAGAGCTGAATCTAAACTCAGACCTATGTGACTCCAAAATCCAGGCTCTTCACCTGTGTGGCTCTCCAATTAGAGAGGGCATCAAAATCATATGGAGAGCATAACAGACCACCAGGCCCATCCCAAAGTGGCTGGTTTGGTAACTCTGAATTTGGATATCTATCAGTTTCCTCGGTGCTGCTGCTGATAATGGTGGCTGAATGATCAGGTTTGGGGAACCAGTGCATTGAATGATTCTAGTTAATGAATAAGTGATGCATGAGTGAATGAATGAAGCTGTGATGTGGCACACTCATTGAAATACTCTACTAAGCCATTCCTCAGGTGCGAGTTTGGATACTCGTATTTGAGATCCAGTGCAAAGTCAACGAGATAGAAGGCCTGAGCTACAGCTCTTGTGTTTCTAACTTGATGTAACCTTGCTTGGCCTGTTGGTTTCGGTATGAAATGGGAAGACCAGGATCTACTGAACTGCTTCATAAGGGTGTAAAATTGTTTTTAAAAGTGGAATGAAAATCTCTGTTGGTGAGTTTTGCACAGTAGGGACTAAATCCTTAAATGCCCTTGGAAAATTGTAGGACAGTTTCTCTGTGCAGTCATCTGACCCTTTGGTCTCTGAATAACAATAACAAACACTGAGTTTACTGTGGTAGGCACAGTGCTAAGTGCTTTATATGTTTGTTTTTTATTTAATCCTCATAGCCAAACCTACGACATAGATGTTATTATTGTCATTTCACTGTTGAGGAAACTGAGGCTCATGGTGATTAAGTACCTCATTCCAAATCCCTTAGCCAATTCGTGGGGACAGGATTTCAGTGCTGGTCAGTCTTTCTTGACATTTCTGTGCCCTGCCTTATTCCCTATGAAACCAAAGTTGTGCTGGAAGGTTCTTATCTCCACCAGGTCTTTGGTAAAGAGTTTTGTGCTCTTTGCATTTTTGGTGTATCAAGGCCTTCTCCATCTGCCAGCTAATCAGAAGTTAATTATTGAAGACAGCCCGTCAGTTAATGAGTGGATGGCAGCTGTAAAACTCTTTGCTTGTCTTAGGGCGCCTGGGTGGCTCAGTTGGTTAAGGGTCCGACTCATGATTTCAGCTCAGGTCATGATCTCACAGTTGGTGAGTTCGAGCCCCACGTTGGGCTCTGCACTGGCAGGCTTGGGATTCAATCTCTGTCTCTCTCTGTCTCTCTCTGCCCCTCCCCCATTCATTCTCTCTCTCTCTCTCTCTCTCTCTCTCTCTCTCTCTCTCTCAAAATAAATAAAAATTAAACAAACAAACTACTCTTTGTTGTCTCTTCACGACCTGGAGCCCAAGTAGGGCCCAGTGACCTGAGATCATCTCAGCAAGTATTTGCTGTTACAAGCAAGGCTGTGCTTTTCTGCAGTGCAAATGCACAGGTGGTTCATAAAACCCAGTCCCAAGTTCACGTTGTTCACAGTCCTGTTCTCCACTCCCTGTGCTCTCCAGTTTATGTTGTAGAGTTGGACTGGCACCCTGATGCCCCCGGAGAAATGGTGGTCCTCACCTGCAATACTCCTGAAGAAGATGACATCACCTGGACCTCTGACCAGAGCAGTGAAGTCCTAGGCTCTGGTAAAACTCTGACCATCCAAGTCAAAGAATTTGCAGATGCTGGCCAGTATACCTGTCATAAAGGAGGCGAGGTTCTGAGCCATTCGTTCCTCCTCATACACAAAAAGGAAGATGGAATTTGGTCCACTGATATCTTAAGGGAACAGAAAGGTAATCCCATTCCCTCATATGGTGTTTTCTCTTTTGCCCCATAAAAAATTAAAAAAAAAAATTTAATGTAAATCCCTTGCTGAAACCACCCAGCACCTGTTTTTCTTTGCTTTCTTAGACACTTTGAGTAATCAACCATCCAAATCTCATGTTCAGAGATTTTCGTGGTGAATCTGGTTGGTTTTCCTGAAGTTCTTTTTAAATGGTTAATGGAAATTAACCAATGTGTATAGTTCATAACTCAGCTCTGGGATGGCAGCCTTGCCAAATTTAATCCCTCCCTCTGATATATCAGGTGCAAAGTATACTCTGCAGAATCAGCATCCTACTGACACATTCCCAGTCCTCGCTGAACTGCCTGTCAGGGAAGCAGCATCATTTTCCAAGGAAATAAATGGAAGATCTTCACTCCTGTACCACTTGGTGGCCTGTGGTTCATCACAATTAAGATCTACCTGAAAGAAAACTTCTAAATATTGAATTTTTGTTCTTTTCAAATCCAGAATCCAAAAATAAGATCTTTCTAAAATGTGAGGCAAAGAATTATTCTGGACGTTTCACCTGCTGGTGGCTGACAGCAATCAGTACCGATTTGAAATTCACTGTCAAAAGCAGCAGAGGGTAAGTGAAACCACTCTGATCTCTTAGCATTTTGTGACAACTATTTCATTAAGAAAATAAGGGCAACCTAGCAATGGCCTATCAGTTAATGATAAGTGAGAAAACACAGTCAAACCTGTATTTTTTTCAACACCCCTCTTGCCTAAATTGGGAAAAGAACATGGAGATTTAAGCTAATCACCTGAACAAATGCGTAGGTTAGAACAGGACATTATTGGGGCCTGAGAATAGCCTCTGCTGTGTTTGAACCCACTCATCCAGATTGCCTGGCAATGCTTCATTAAGGCTCACGGCACCATGGGGAGGCATAAAAGGGGAAATCGAAGCTACAAATGACTTGCCAAAATTGCACCCTGAGATGGAAAGAGAAACAAAAGCTCTCGGACACAGATCTTGAAAGCCCTGAAGCCGACTCCAAAACTCTGAGGCCTCCAGAAATTTTCTCAGGGCCATTTCAACTCCTTTTCCCTCTGCTGACGTCACTAATCTGAAGTTCGTTGTTTGTCCAATACACTTGGACTTCCCCTAAGAAACCAGTTTCCATGGATACCGAACCTATGTTAGCCGTTTTGTGTGACTTCCCTCACTCACCATCTAGGTTCCTGAACAAGGCAGGGTAACAGAGCAAACCCCAGGTGATTAACTGAGCAAATTAACCTCTGGAGTCTTCCTTTTCCATCTTTAAGATGAAAATCCATACTAAAAGGATGCTTATACAAGGGCACAGAGACATGGAAGCCAGTGTTCATTGTAATGTTTTTGGTAATCAGCAGGGGAAAAGCTAAATAAAGCGTGGTACATTATCCCCCAGCTTAACGTGCATTCATCAGAATGGATAACCCAATCTGTGTGGTCTGTCATGGAGCGCTCTCCATATGTTCCGAGGGGGAAGAGATGGTTACAAACCATATATATATATATATGTATAGTAGGATCCTATTTAATGGAAAATAAAAGCATTGTCTGTGTATATAGACAAAATATGTGTGAATGTATATATACATGTGGATATATGATTGGTCTGAATATTCATAGACTAAGGTCTGGAGGGACACAACAAGCTATGAATAGTATTTCTATTGGGGGAGTGAGATTAGGGTTGAAAGAGGCACACACATTTCATTTATACACATTTTTATCTTTTTAATTTTTTATCATTAGCATGTGTTGATTGTGTAATTAGAATGAGAAAAACGAATTTAAAATTCTAATAAGGAGATTTAACCCAGGGCTCTGGATCTAGAAATTTCTGGATTCGTTTAGGCCAGAGGCATGTAAATGCAGAGCTGTCTCTAAATATTTGTACCACCTCTTGAAGCAAAGCTTGTTCTCATGGGGAGGGCAGATTCTTACCCCCTTAGGAGAAATCAAACCAGTTGGAGAAATTGTGTCCTCAAACAGCTGCCTGGCTCCAGCCCCTAGAAACTCACCCACAATTGTGTGACACAGGGTAATGTCTGTCTTTGACTTCAGCTCCTCTGACCCCCAAGGGGTGACTTGTGGAGCAGCGACACTCTCAGCAGAGAAGGTCAGAGTGGACAACAGGGATTATAAGAAGTACACAGTGGAGTGTCAGGAGGGCAGTGCCTGCCCGGCTGCCGAGGAGAGCCTACCCATTGAAGTCGTGGTGGACGCTATTCACAAGCTCAAGTACGAAAACTACACCAGCAGCTTCTTCATCAGGGACATCAGTGAGTTTGCTTGATTATACGTACTTACTAAGGATAAATGCCATTTGTCACATGTGCACAATGCCCCATGCACTGAGGTAAGGGGTTTACATGCATTATCTCTTTTATTCTAACCCCCCCCCCAAAGTGTACAATGTAGATACTATTGTCTGCATTTTAAGGAAGAGAAAATTGAGTCTTACACAGGTTAAATAAGTTGCCCCAGATCTCACAGATAACAATTCAGACCCAGTCCCGCCCCACTAGAAAAAAGTAGGCTCTTGGGGCACCTGGGTGGCTCAGTCAGTTAAGCAACCGACTATTGATTTCGGCTCAGGTCATGATCTCACAGTTCATGAGTTCGAGCCCTGCATCTGGCTCCCTGCTGACAGTGTGGAGCCTGCTTGGGATTCTCTCTCTCCTTTCTCTCTCCTCTCTCTCTCTCCTCTCTCTCTCTCCTCTCTCTCTCTCTCTCACACACACACACACACACACACACACACAAAATAAATAAATATACATTAAAAAAGGAAAGAATAAGTAGACTCTTGGCTATACTTGTATTCTGCTATTCTGCTGTCCAGGAAGCTTCCACAGGGAACCTAGGAGGAGCCCCTCAAGCATACCATACCATACCAGGCTTCCATACTAATTGTGGTTATTCCCAACCAATCTTTCTCCAGCATTGGAAAAGAGTCTTCTTTATTGGAATATAAGACCCTCCGAAATGGACATCGATTTTTTTTAATTTGCAGATGGAGATTTTGCCATTTGTCATTTCCTTTGCCATTTATCCACTGAATTTTCATCATGAAGTAAAATGTATAAAACCACAGAACTCACTCTAGCATTTGTGGAGAGACTGCCCTTGGCAGGTAGGGAAAGGTTTGCATTTACATAGGATGGCCAGGGAAGGTCTCTCAGAGGTGACATTTAGCTGAGTTCTAAAGGAAAAAAGAAAAATGTCAGTTATGTTAATAATAGAAGAATATTTGAAAAGCATCTACCAGGAACCATGGTCTTTGGGATTTGGACACTCCATAGAATGTCTCCTCTGCCCTTGTCTAGACAAGGGTCTAGAGTCTTCCGTGATACTCGCTACTGTATCCTCTGTGCACAGTCTAGTTAGTGACTGGCACGTGACGGGTGCTCAGTCATCATTTATTGAATGAATGAATGAGCATAGAGACAATTTGATAACTGCTGCAAGACGAGTCAGTGCCAGCAGCCATGAAAAGACAACAGAAAGAGCACTAAGTGGAAATTCTCTCATCTCATCCCCAGCAAGGGGCTCCACTCGCTCCAAGTTCAGTGCAAAGAGGCATATTGACCACAGAGAGGGTGGTCCTTCACCACGTAGCCCAGATATGAGTCTTGTCTCTACAAAATTTCTTCTGAGCACTATGCAGAGGTGGTTCCACTGCTATGGCTCATCTGATTGTGCAGTGGTGAGGATTCTGAGCCTCTCTAGGGGTCAGCCACAGAGGCTGTGGCCGCCTTCCACAGGCACCAGCAGCAGGGGTGCCTCATGTCTGCCAACAGGTGCCCAGAGAAGTGAAGTAACTACCTATGGACTCACAACTGGTCAAAGGTAAAAGTCGGTTCAGAAGCCAAACACCATACACCATACACCAAAGAGCCCCATTAGGAAAATAAAGGGTGTTTCTTGGGATTCTTCCACAGTCAAACCGGACCCGCCCAAGAACCTGCAACTGAAGCCATTAAAAAATTCTCGGCATGTGGAAGTGAGCTGGGAATACCCTGACACCTGGAGCACCCCACATTCCTACTTCTCCTTAACATTTGGCATACAGGTCCAGGGCAAGAACAACAGAGAAAAGGTAAGATGTGATCCAGGCTCCGTGTATTCAGTTTTATGCACATCCAGGGGATGAGGATACCAGTAACTAACGTTTATCTAGCACTTTCTAAGTGCCTGAGACTGCGCTGAGGGTTTCACATGCATATCTCACTGAATCCTTAAGGTAACCCTGCAAAGCCAGGCAGTATTATCACCACTTCACTCGTGGAGTCATGGAAGCTCAGAGAGGTTAAATGACTTGCTCAAAGTTACTCAGCTAGGAAAGAGGGAGGATCAGAACCACGGAATTCAGTCTAGGGGACGCAAATGGCCTGCACCGAACCACGCTACTATTGCCTCCAGTATGGTTCGTCATTAATTCTTGCACTCAGAATTGATCCCCATATAGGAAATCTGGGCTCGAGGCGCCTAAAATTATTGCTTGAATTTAGCAAGTGTAATGAATGATAGAACATTCATGCTATGTCTCACCCAAAATGGATAATTCCCAGCTGTTCCACAGATGGTGAAATTATCTTATTGAACAGAATGTTAGTGTTCACACAGGCTATGACAATGGCTTTCAAACTTCTTGCCTTGGCATCATAATTCCCAGGTCCAAGATGCACTTTTATAAAGCCCAACACTGCTTCGACCCCGGTTTTAGAAATCACTGGATAAAGGCCTTATTCAGGATAGTATTTAGCATTTAGAAGGAATTCAGTCATTCAGTCACTCCCTGAGCATTATGTTTTGTAGGAGGGAAGGGCTATTCTGGGTGAATTTTACCTAAATATTATTTAAAAACTTCATATGTATCTTCCCTACATAAGATTTATATCGTTAATAGATAATATCTACTGAATACTTTCTACCTGATGAAAGACTTCACTAAGAGTTTTACATGATGATTACCTTTAACTTTTACACGTCTTGAGGTAGGAATGATTATTATCCCTCTTTTATAAATGACAAAACTCAGACACAGAGCCTAAAGCATTTTCCTGTGATTACACAAATAAAAGTAAACAATGCCTGGATTTCAGCACGTTTTCTGATAAAAGGATCAGGATATACTATTTAGGAATATCCAGGGGGCAGCTATAGCAAATCTGCCCTAGTCCCACCATCGCCCAGTACAGACTGAGTGTGCATTGGGCCTTCAGGCAAGGTAGCTGTGCTAGAAAGATGTGAGCTGGACGGAACCATTCCTCCCTCTGGGCTGAGGTAGAAAATGTGTTTAGAGCTTCTATCAGTAGGTGGCGCAAGTTCTATACAACTCCACTGTTTATTGCAACTGTGGAGCCCTTAAACCCAGGTGTACTTGTTTTGAGAGACCAAGCGTTGCAAAAATAGGCCCAGCCCATCTTGTGACTGCATTGCCAAAGACATCCCTCTGCTTTGCAGAAAGATAGACTCTCCGTGGACAAGACCTCAGCCAAGGTCGTGTGCCACAAGGATGCCAAGATCCGCGTGCAAGCCAGAGACCGCTACTATAGCTCATCCTGGAGCAACTGGGCATCCGTGTCCTGCAGTTAGGTGAGCAGGCCCACAAAGCCCAGCCCGTACCTGAACACTCAGTGGACCCAGGTGCAGGGCTTCGGTGGGGAGCAGTGCAGGAGAAGAAAGGGGAGACAGGGTGTCCGGCACATAGTCACTAGAGTCAGAAACATACATTTGTTCATTAACAGATATTTATTTGATGCCCATACTGTTCCAGGCACTGTGCTGGGTACAGAGATACTGCAGTAAAGAAAACATACATAGGTCCTGTTGCTCTAAGGGTCAGAGCAAAAATGGCTTGCAAGCTGTTTTCAGGACTTAGAACCTTCTCCTAGGCACCCTGGGGGCTTGCAAGCTCTTTTCAGGACTTAGAACCTTCTCCTAGGCACCCTGGGGGGACACTGAAAGCAGCCATATCCTAGACCACATACGGGCAGACTGGGCCCTTCTAACATGGAATCCCTAAAACCTCATTGCCCCAATAATATGTTGTGCGAAATAAGAAGGGTTTGCTGCCACATTTCTAATTCACATAGACTGTTGGTATTCTTTTTCAGGTTCCAATCCCAGGATGAAACCTTGGAGGAAAAGTGGAAGATATTATGCAGAAGTTTTTAAAGAGACAATGGAATAGGCCCCAAAAGTTATTTTCTACCTAATTTGCTTTTTGCAAAGGATCATTATAATGTTTTTGTAGTAGTTTTACATTGAAATGCCAAATGCCCACTGAAGCAATTAGCTACTTTATTTATAGATTTTCTAGCTAGCAGGTTGCCACCGACCTTAATGCTATTTAAATATTTAAGTAATTTATGTATTTATTAATTTATTGTTATTGAACACTTCTGTGTCAAGATGTATTATATGTTTCATACTCTCAGGACCTGATCTGTAAGGAATAGGCCCTATTATGCAAAATGTGAATTTATGTGTTATTTATACTGACAACTTTTCAAACAAGACTACAAGTGCATCAGTTTTATGACAACCAGTGAGAACACAGTATTCTGATGCCAGCACCAATAATATGTTTGTGATGGATGGGAACACAGAAACAGTTAAACAGAAGCACGGAGACATGAATCCATTTGAAAAGGTTCTGGTGACCGAGATGTTAGTTCCTGTGTCCGTGAAGATTTCCCTGAGGTGGTGTTGCTAAAGCAATTCAGGACCACCTGCACTTCTAAGCAAGTTCAGTTGTTTTATTTTTGTTGGTGGTGGTGGGTTTTTTTGGGGGGGAGGCGGTTGGATGCCTGAATTTAGAAAGGACTAAAAAAATAACTGAAATTGAAAATTCAGCTTCAGCTACCCTGGCAGTCCCCACCTCCATCTATCTGTAAGACATCGGAGAGTGACCCAGAGACATTGGAAGTGTCTGGAAAGTAAAAAGGTCTTAGGATCCAAGAGGGAGAACAAGTATAGTACGACCAAGCAAACAAAATTGTCAAAATTGCCAGCTGCTTTTTAATAGCCATGCAAGAAAACACAGAGTTGCAAAGAAAACAATCAAGAATTGCTTACTCATCAGCATGAGTGAACCTGACTGGTGGATATGACCGGACAGTGCCAATCACTAAGGTGCTACTTTTAAGTAATGAATGTGCTTTCTGTAAAGTGATTTCATTTGTTTTCTGTTTACTTATTTCTGACAGTGAACTAATAAAAATATAATTCTTCTTTGCAATAATATTTTGGGCTTTCTCAGCTGACTCAAGTATCCTGTTCCCGCATTTACCAGGATTGCATTACTTTTCCCCTGCCATTTAAGAATTGCCCTTCTTTGAAGCAATTTCACTTCCAGTTTTGCAGAGTTGCCCTTTCCCTTTATAGGACTCCCAAAGTCAGTGTCTTGCTGAGCTCAGGGAATGTCCCTGCAGTCTGACCACGGGGAACTCTGCAAGGGCACTGAACTGCATTATGCCCTCTTCAGGGGTTGGATGTTCTTGCTTCTTTCGCCTTCTATCCTGGAATCAACTCTACTTGCTCCCAAACTGTCATGCAATAAAGCACCAACCTGGTAGAGTCATGAGCATCCCAGCCCATAGGTCCAGACCTGGTGTTTGCAGAGGATTTGTCACATGTCTGGATGTGTGCTAAAACCTTGGGTTGAGGAGATCCAGGCAACCTTGGGTTGCCTTCCCCAAACAGTGCCCATTCCTGGCACAGCTTAGAAGGCAGCGATGAAAAGTTAACTTCAATAGCACTAAATGCTAAAATGTTCAGTATATATGGTGCCCTGGGGTAAGAACAAAGGAGAAGAATCAGTGTAACCTAGAGTCACCCAGGAAGGCTCAATAGAGAAGGGGAAGTCAAAGAAAGGGCAGAGCCTACCAGTTTCTCTTTGGTGCCTCCCATGGAAAGAGCAAGTGGTGGGATCAGAGAGAAGGAGTACAGTCTCTACTACCTTCAATAGCCAAATGTACATATCTGGGCTTCCTTGCAATGGCAAGGTAATTATAATAGGGATGCTTTAAGTGTCCTTATTTTAAGTGTCTCCTGGAGCACTTATTCTACTCTGCTTCTGACCTGGAGGAATGGTGGAAAGATTCTATCATTCTCAGCCAACATTTGAAACCTATCATCTTGAATTACGAGCCCATACTGGATAGCACGTGGTTGGTTAATAACTATTTGTCCTCCTACAGGGTCTTTCATCTAGAGATACCAAAACACTTAATGGGCATTTAATGAACAACACTAACCAAGAAAAAATAATTAATCATACTTATAAGTACAGACACCAGGAGACCTTTCCCAAAACTTCCGGCCAGCCTGGGGCAGAGCTCAGATGTTCCCTCTCCCAGCATGCCCAGTGCTTTCCTGACATGACCTCTTAGCATCCAATTAAGTTGAATTTCAATGAAGAGTTTTTATATTGGAAGGACATTCTCCAGGACAATCCTTTTTTATGGGGAATCTAGCCGCTACAAACATATCAAATGTTCTACCTAAAGAGCTCAGGACCGGGAACCAGGAGACTGGGCCCTGGGCCTGGTCAGCCCTGCTACATGACCATGTGACCTTCAGCAGAACACTGGACACAACCTGCTGCTTGTCCCATCAGTAGTCACTCTCAACTTCTTTCCCTCCCAGTGACCTTCCTGAGCTCTAAGATTGGGAAGCTAAGAGCCCCAAAGATTGGGACACTTTTCTAGTCACCCTGGCTGCCCAGCAAAGCCATGAGACCTTGTTCCAGCTCATGAGATATGAGAAAATTCTGCCTGTGTTCTCCTGAGAAAAGAGAACCATAGCCAATCACTCTTGCCCTCCTTCCTCTCTTGAGCAGATGGCATTTAAGAAGTTTCAGAGAATGGGGCACCTGCGTGGCTCAGTTAGTTGAGCATCTGACTTTGGCTCGGATCATGATCTCATGGCTCGTGAGTTCAGGCCCACGTCTGGAGCCTGCTTCAGATTCTGTCTCGTCTCTCTGTCCCTCCGCCACTCGCGCTCTGTGTGAGTGTAAATCACTCTCTCTCTCAAATGTAAATCAACATTTAAAAAAAAAATTTTTTTTTAAAGAAGTCTCAGAGAAAACCCTGCAACCAGAATGGAAGCCACCATGATGGGACTGTAAAGCTACATAGACTTTGGGACTCAAGCAAAATCAAAAAGCTGAACCAACCCCTCTAACCACTTACCCCAGACTTCTTGTATTAGAAAGATAGACCCATATGTGTGTGTATTTTTTAACCGTGGTAAAATACACATAAGATAAAATGTACCATTATAACCATCTTTGGGTGTCCAATTTACTGGCATCAACTACTGGGAGGAAATGGGTCAGAACACCAGGTCTGCCCCTCACAGCTGGCATGTCCCTAGGGACACCCTGGAGCCACATCCAATGATGCCAAGTGGGGTCCTGGTGATGCCCTGTCTGCCTGAAGAGAGATAACCAGGGTCAGGAAGCTTGTTCCAAGGGCAGCTGGAGCCTGAGCAGGACGAACCGGGGGTGGGGGGCGGGGAGGGGTTGGCAAGCAGCTTCCATGGGAGAGACACCTCTGCTGTTCCTTCATTCACTCAACAGTTACTGCTCTGTCCCTGGCACCATCGTCAACTTTCTGGATACAAGGCTAAACAAGACCTTGCTCTCTCACTGTTTCCAGTCTCCAAAGGATGAAATGCTTGAAATTCTAAGCACCGAAGGTCACCTCTTGAGGGTTAAGAGCTCTATAAAATGAGATGATCAGTTTAATGGGGTTAGCACAGTGCCTGGCCCACAGTAAGCACTCAATAAATGGTAGCTATTTCTACCCAATAGCTCTGTGATCTTGGGCAAGTTACTTCACCTTTTCAAGCCTCACTTTTCTCATCTGTAGAATGGGATAATAAGAGTACCCACTTCACAGAGTGGTTGTTAGGATTAATGGAATAACACTTAGAAAGTGCTTATAAAAATACCAGATCCATAATAAGTACTCAATAAAAGCTGATTGTTAATATTCTTATTATATTACCTATACCTTAAAAAAAGAATAATTCGGGCCGCTATGTCTTTGTGGGCATAGGGAAATGGAGAGATTGTTGTTAGGAGGTCGTGATGTTTCTTAGAAGTGGGTCAGGATGAAGGATGCATTAATGAGCCAATGAAGAGATCAGTCAAGCTCCTCAGGGCAGAAACCCTTTCTTATAAATACAATTGTAAGAACATCCCCATCTGGGGGGTACCAAGATGCACTGAACCCAATTCCTGCCTCTAGGGATTGGACAGTCTGAAAGGGGCAAACATGGGGAATACATATATTAAAATATAGCCAGGCTGGGTTAAGGGTATGCGCACCCTAAATATTTCTTTTTACAAAGGTTTTCAGCTCCGGGGAAGATCCTTTTCATTCCCTTTAACCTTCCTGGATGCAATAATTTGGCATAAACCTGCCAATTCACCTTACCCATAAATCCGATTTTAATCATCTCTTTCCTTTTCATTTCAGTATGGCCCCTCTTCTAACACAGCATTTGCGAGCAGACTGTATTTGGACAAGACTTTCTCCAGAGGGCCATATTATAACCAAGGAAATGAATTCCCTTTCTCAGGCTC